TCATTTAGTTTCAAAGTCTTGAGCCAAACTATAAAACTATAAAAATGAGAAAATAAAAACTTTCTCCTAAAGCAATTCTTATATCCAAAATCATACTCCCCACAGACCTACCTTTATTCTCAAAGAGAATAATTACATTGACATTGAAAATGACCTTTAGGGAAGGCAAAGTTCTACTCAGTCTTAAGAGCATTCCAAATTCCAAGAGTAAAAGGTTTCTTAGCCCTTTTTTGTTTTTTTGTGTTTTTTGAGACAGGGTCTCATTATGCAGCCCAGGCTAGGCATAGACTTACAATGTAGTCCAGGCTGGCCTTAAACTGGAGCTCTTCCTGCCTCAGTCTTCTGAGTGTTGGGATTATAGGTGTGCACCATGACACTCAGAAAGAGCAATGGTTTTGATTTCTCTTAGAGTCTTTGAAAACAAATAGCAAAGGTTAGTATTCATGTTTAGTCAATATGAAATAGGAGTAACCCAGAGAAGTTTTAAATTTATTCAAAATGAAAAGACATTATTCAATCCACAAATCTCATGAGAAAAATTATTACTCTTGATAAGGTCATCTTTTTTAAAAATTAAGAGCAGAGATCTGAACACAACACATACTAAAAATGTCAAGAAAATTACCATTGGAACTCCCTATTGTTACTTTAGGATAAACATAGTTCTTCATGACATTTACCTCCTTTGGACTGATTTTTGTACAAATGAATAAATGTGGTTTTGTTTTTTGCTGACATTTTACTTAATTTTGGTAATATCTAGAGAAGATTTTGGATTCTATTAGAAAAGATTCATGGAAAGTGCCAATGTGTTTGTTTACTTTCCTCAAGTTAAGAAGTATAGAGTAAACCCTGCTATGATGAGTTTGAAATTATGAAGCTTTTTAAAATCAAGTTCAGAACCAAAAGTTAATTTTGCATAACATTTATATTTTTAGACTTAAGAAATTAATGCCTATGTAAAAGCTTCATATTTTCTTCTTTTCTTGACTACTTCCTAATTCTTTATTTAAAAAATTAGCCAGGCAACCAAGTGAAAATAACAAAATACTGAAACCAATAATTTAGAAATCACTATTAAATCAAAATTGGGTTTCTAAATTTTGGCTCTTAATAGTTTATTGATGATTAAAATTAGCCCAATGTTACTTAAACAGGAGTACATTCTGTGTCTCTTCCTATGAAAGTGCTGCTTCTTTTCAAATCACTGCACTTCTCTCCTACTTCCTTAATATATCAAAACCAACAAAAATAAAATTCAACTGTAACAAAATAAAATTCTCCTAGATGCCAAACCATACTGGGGTTAGGTAACAGCACCAAAAATGCTGCTAGAAAATTATCTCATATTTAGAAAATATTGACATTAAAAATATCTAACAAAAGAGGAGGTTTCAAAATCATAGTCCTTAACTTTTTAAAGGTGGGATAAAAATCAAACTATAGCTATGGATTGATAATGGCTCTGTAGGAAATTAGGGTTTGTTTCACTTAAAAGACTTTTTAAAAAATTCTTCCAATCACACAGATTAGCAAAATATTATATCAATATAATTTTGAACTTTGTTAATTTTCAATATATTTTACATGACTCTATAATTATGTCTTAGACCACTGGGTCATGATAACAATCCACATAGGCAGGAAGATTTCTAGGGTACCATTTGTAAAATAAAAGCCAAGAAAGAAATTTAATATCTGGGGTAAATTTTCTTTGTATTTAAGGCTACAAAGTTTGATAAACTTTATTGTTGTTGAACAACTACAGCCCTATTCAAGATTTCTTAAAGGTAATTTACAAGTGAATAATATGCCAATATTCACATACGGTCAGGTTACTTATCCTCTTCTAGAATTCATATAACAGTACTTGGGGTAGGTGAAAACATACCTAAAAATTAACCTAGAGACTTGGTGCTTTTTATATTTTATAGATATACACTTTTACTTTATGTAAACAATTGTTAAAGATAAAACTAAGGTTCAATTATAACAGTATAAAGACTTTGTCATAAATTCTTTAAAAAGAAAATATTAATAGCATAACATAAATTTTATATACTTATTGGATGATAGAAAGTGGGCAACAAATATTCCTACCTGACCTACAACCATTATCAGCTGGGTTATGTTATACTAATTCTCAAATCTGATGTTGAAATTTTCCTTCATTTTAGTATCATCTTGAAAATTAACTGAGTTTTACTAGCACATAGTCATAGTAAGTATAATGCATCCTTTGGGCTTTGATTGCATTGGCCAATCTGAGAAGAGCATTAGAACAAAGCAAAGAAAATCATGCTATAAGGACAGAAAAACTAGAAAAATGAAAATCTTTTCTCAGCCCCAGACCTTATATCTTTGCTTATGGCGTAAATCCTTAATTTTTATTATATGTAAAAAAGTACAGAATATTTTGTTGCTCCCGAATGGCCAGTGTGTTAAAAGCCAGGGTTTTTTTTCTTCTTACAATGTTATACCAAAATTAGAATGCATAGTATTAGAATAGAGAGCAATGTATATTCTAAACACAGGCTCATTTAGGGGAGAATGTAAACTTTATGCAAACAGTTCTTCTCAGTTTTGTAGGAAAGATTTTTTAAAAACCTTATACTCTACCTGAAAATAAAAAGAAATTAATAACCAGTCTAGATTATAAAAAGGGGGGGGACCAAAAATTTTCATTTATTTCAATATGCCCAGAAGAAAATATGAAACATTTCTACACTACTTCTCCTGCAAACTTTCCTCCTATTTTAAAAGAAAAATCAAAAGGAATATGCCATGGACTCTCTTCACATATGATACTGGATCTAATGGAAGAGAACACGCCAAGACACAGCACATTAAAAAAAAAAAAGTAAGCTGTCCACAAGAACTGTTTGGTTCTTGACTGAAAAATATCAACCCCACCCAAGACTGAGCAATATCTTTCTGAGTTGATGTGCATCCTGCTTTGCCAACATCTTGATTATGTCTGATGTCCCACAATAAATATTAACAATGCCCCCTTTCACTCCTAAATGCCTCAAAAGTTAGATGATATATTTTACAATGGGTTTTTTTTGCTTTTTGGTTTTTTAAAAATTTTTGTTTACTTTTGTTTAGTGTTACACAATTGCATTTTTATTTTTCGTTTACTTTTATTTTTATTTTTTGTTTATTTTTTAGTAATTTTTAATTATTTTTGTTTTTTATTTTTTATATTTTGTTTACTTTCATTTATATTTTTATTTTTGGTTTACTTTTGTTTAGTGTTACACAGTTGCAACATTCTTTCCCTCTTGAGAACTAATGCAATTTAAAGGATCATAGTGAATGGAAAGGAATGCATCACCTTCTCCACCAAGTCATCTTCAATCTATTCCTTAACTATCTGTCCCTTTCCCCAGTCTGCTTCTGGTCCTAATGTTTCTCTCAGTCCCTCTGGGTTGAAAGCCCTGAATTCCACTTTCATTTGTCAAGGCTTGTAGCCATTAGGCCAGATTAGGCATGGGACAAAAAGAATGATGGCTGCTGGGGACATCTGCTTGACTTATGAAGATCAAGATCTTAGTAGATCTTAGTATTAGCTGGTTCCGCCTTTCCTTGAACCAAGATACTTACGCACCAAATCAGAAAGAACTTCCTATGTAAAGCTTTACCTTAAAAAAATCATTTTCTTTTTCCTTTCTGTTTCACAACTGTGCCCAAACACTAAATTTCTTTGCATTTAAGTTCACTGTTAATGTTACTTATCAAGCATTCTTCATAAAAACTATTCACATCATCTTATACGAAGTTTTATGGTTATTTTCCTTTTGTGGAATTTTTACTATTCTTTTATTTGCTTTACTAATATTGAGAATTGAACAAGCTTTAAAAGCTCTATTGTTCTCAACTCATCAACCTTTTCTTTCTAGAATGTGTGATCAGTCTGAGTTTACTATATATCTGCTCTTTTGACAGAAACTGTGAATAAAAATATATTTCTTATTTCTGTCTTCAGCAAGCACAATTCAGTGGTCCATTCTGAGTTTTTCAAAGTTGAACATAGTCTCTTCAGCCAGCAGTTTTGCCGCTTGGTCACAATCCCAAAAATAAATCAACTCTATTCTAAACACTAAGTTTCCACTATTATTGCCAAACAATGAATTGGTACAGTCTTTTTAAAGGATGAATGTAACACTTGACCTATTACTACTACTTAAGTAAAACCAGTTTTCAAGTATTTTCCCCCAGAGAAATATAAAGAACTATGTAAAAACAGAAGCAGAAGACAAAGGTCTAGTTAGGGATTCAGAAGAAGTTTCACAACTCAGAACTGGAACTGACAAATTCACATATTGATTTATGATGCTAATGAGTGGGAATCATGCTTCCCACTTACTTGAAAAAACTTGGTCATCAGCTATTTCTGTTTTCTAAATATGCTTTTCTTTATAAAATTCAAAAATCTGTTTAACAAACCTTAACCATGGTTATACTTTTTGATTTGCTTTGGAGTAA